CCCTCTGTGCAAGACACTCTGTGATGGTCAAAGACAGACTTTGATGATAAGCACATTGTTTCAGTCAAGGCTAAGCGGCATTTGTTTGCTCTTCGATTAGTTGGCATCCATGGTTTGATCGATTTCTTTGGGCTTTAACCAAAGGCGTGTGCCATGTACACGCTGCCTCCTTTAGTGTGGTAACAGGCTTCTATTTTGTGGGTTTCTTTTTGCAGGATTTTCCTTGACCTGAAACCCTGATGTGACTTGAAACCTTAGTGTTCTGGCCTAGAGTTTACTGTGTCACTCAGTTCTGCCTCATGCTTACAGCAATCCTCCTGCTTCTGCCCCCTAAGTACTGGGATTTTAAGTGTGAGTCACTATGCTCAACTAAATGTTGGACTTCCTGGGAGTCCATCCTATTTTTATCTCTCTGCCCAGTGATACTCCAGTGGTGTATGTACTTATTGAAAAACTCCGCAAAACCTTCTTTGGGGCGGGGGATAAGTTAAAATTCAGGTGAAGGGCTGGTGTGGTAGCTCAGAGGTTGAGAATACTTGCCACTCTTGCAGAAGACCCAGGTTCATCCTCAGCACCAACACAGTACCTGACAACCATCCCTAACTCCAGCTCCCGGGGATCTGATGTTCTCTTTTGACCTCCATGGTCACTTGACATGCCTGTGGTGCGCTTACATATATGCAGGCAAAGCATCCCCATACATAAAATAAAAATAAATAAACCTTAAAAGTCAGTGAATTTACCCCCTTCTCAACAACTCTCTTGTCTCGGTGGCTTTATGACTATTATAGTTTGGACCTTAAACGTCTTCCAAAGGTCAAGTTATTGAGGCCTTGGCCCCTGACATGCTGGGTTGCTGGGGCTAGTGGGAGGTCTTCAGGTCAAGGTGGAGGAGGGTCTTTTTTTTTTCAGATAGCAGTTGCTTTTTATTTTTTTTAATTAATTTATTTATTAAAAATTTCCACCTCCTCTCCGCCTCCCTTTTCCCCCCTCTCCCCCCTCCCCCTTCCTCTCTAGTCCTAAGAGCAGTCAGGGTTCCCTGCCCCGTGGGAAGTCCAAGGTCCTCCACCCTCCATCCAGGTCTATAAAGGTGAGCATCCAAACAAACCAGGCTCCCACAAAGTAAGTCCATGCAGTAGAATCAAAACCCAGTGCCATTGTCCTTGGCTTCTCAGTCAGTCTTCATTGCCAGCCACATTCAGAGTGTCCAGCTTGATCACATGAGAGAAGGGTCATTTTCACTCGCACTGTCTGGACCCTTACCTCCAATGCATCTCATTCTTCAGGGTCTCTCCTAGCGGTCTGGGTTTCTCACAGTTCACTCTTTCAGGCTAGTCTAACACGGAGGTGCGGTTCTAAGAGTCAGGGTAGATGGAACGAGGCAAACCACATACTGTCATTGTAACTGGCACAGTGTAACTTCCACATTCTAGTGCTCAGAGTAGGTATGACGACCCAGGTAAGAAGACGAATGAAAACAGGACCGTGTAGGCAAACACAGATGACGTGCTCACCTACACAATCCATCACTGGGTCTTATCCGTGCAACCCCAGAAAATTCTTTTTAATTTTAAACAAGTATTTATTTGTAATTTTAATTTTTATTATTTTAAATTATGTATATGCATCTGTGTGGGTATGCGTGCACGAGTGCTGATCCTGACAGAGGCCAAAAGTGTTGGGTGCCCCTGGAGCTGGAGTTTCAGATGGTTGGGAGCTGCCTGGTATGGTGCTGTAAACTGAACTCCAGTCTCCTGGAGGAGCGGCGCATGCTCTTAACTGCTGAGCCAGCTCTCCAGCCCCAGAAACAACTGCCAAATGCCGTGGCGCCTCTTTTTCTGCTCTGTCGCTGCCTGAAGGCCACGCCAAGATTTCTGTCTTCATCTCTGTCTGGCTTTCTTGGTTCTTCAAAGTTGTCCTCTATTCTCAGTGGGATTGACAGAGATACCCTTTTAAAAAATAAGCCAAGTTCATGTTGACTAAAGCTTTATTTGGCCCCCATGTGGATGAGTTTTCTTGTTGCCATGACAAAATAACTGACAAGAAGTTATTTAAGGAAAGCGGGGTTTATTCTGACTTCCGTCATGGGAGGAAGGCGTGGTGGCAGGAGCAGCAGGCCAGCTGGTCACACTGCACAGGTCTGTAGACAGCACGCAGAGATGTGTGTTTGGCAGGCTTGCTTCTCTTCACATAGTTTAAGACCAGCGGGTGGATTGAAGCTTCCCATGTTTAAGGCTAATTACGTAAGGTAAGGGTAATTAGGCCTTCATTTAGGTAATTCCTCACAGACATCCCAGAGGCATGCTTCAAGGGTAATTTTAGATCTCCTCAAGCTGACAACCGATGCCACAGTTTCAAACTGCTCTTAGGAAAATCCTCGTCCTCTCTATGTATGTATCTATCCTCAACTCCTGTCCCGCTTTTCTCCGTGTACTTTACGTAGACGGAAGGCTACGTTTTGTTATTCTCTGAAATTTCCACCAACGTGTACAAAGTATTTTGATCATATCTACTTCTACTGTCTCATGCCAACAACCTCCCCTCCCCTCAACACATCTCTTTTCCAACTTCTTGTCCTCTTTTATGTATGTATGTATGTATGTATGTACATATCTATCTGTCTGTCTGTCTGTCTGTCTATCTATCTATCTATCTTGTTTTTTTCAAGAGAAGGTTTCTCCGGGTAATAGTCCTGGTTACCTGGAACTCTCTTTGTAGACCAGGCTGGCCTTCAACTCACAGAGATCCACCTGCCTCTGCCTCCCAAGTGCTAGAATTAAGGGTGTGTGCCACCATCGGGCGGTCTCTTTTATTTTTCAGATGCACTGGCTTCAATTAGTGTTGCCCGTATCCATATGGGTGTGATCATTCACTGGGGTATGGACAACTTACCACTCCACCCCCAAGAGCTTGACTCCTCTGTCACCTGCCAGAAACAGAAGTTAGTGGTTGGTGGAGAGACTGACGATGGTTCAGAGTGCCGAGAATAAGCAGCCGCAAGAGCTGGCAGACAGGACACCAGCACAGTTCCAATCCATCCAAGTCTCAGAGAATATCACCGAAGAGGGAGGAGGAACGGATGTAAGAGCTGGAGGGGAGATAGGAAGTGCTCCTCTCTGCATATGACATGGCTGCATACGTGAACTCCCAGCAGCTGTGGTGGCCTGCACATGACCTGAACAAGACCCAGCCAGTTATAAATTTCAGCACAAAGTGGGGAGGCTCCCAATGCCCCACCACTAGCCAAAAGCTACATCTTTGAATTCAGGCCTGAATTCACTGTTGTTTGTGTTTTTAGGACAGGGTTTCTCTGTGTAGCCCAGGCGGTCCTGGAATCTGCTCTGTAGACCAGGCTGGCTGTGAACTCACAGAGATCCGTCTGCCTCTGTCTCCCGAGTGCTGGGATTAAAGCCGTGTGCCATCACTGCCCAGCTTGAATTCACCACCTTTTATCTCCAGGCATTTTCGCATCCTCTTTTGTCTTCTACCCCATCTTCATTGGGCTAAACATCCTCAATGGTAACTTTTAAGTCTTAGTTAAAAAGCTTAATATACAGTGTTGGGACTAATTGAGTCCTGGCCTTCAGCTGCTCTTCTCTACTAGAGCCTTCTTAATGGAAGTTACTAGAAGCTGTACTTTGTCTAGAGGATCAGAGGATGGAATTTTCACCTGTTGGCCATTGACTGCAGGGTATTTAAGCCTCCAAGGTGCTATTAAAAAGGGGGCTTTTTGGTACCAGTGTTGGAAGGTCTGTGTGTCAGTCTGTCTCTGCGTGTGTATTCTCAACCTCCAGCCCCTTGTCTGAAGCTCGCGAACTGGGTTCTAGCGCATAGAGTGCAGACAAGGGGTGGGGGGGGGTGGGGAGATGGGGGGCTGGGGGAGGTGGGGGGAGTAGGGGGGTGCGTGGCAATATAGGCTCTCCTAGACGGAGATGAGCTATTTGGTTCTGCCATTGCTAGACACCCTACTGGTCTTGCCCGCTATCCCTCTTGTAAATTCATCACCTGCACAAGTTGGCATTTGATGTCTTCTAGCAGGGCATGGCTCATGCCAGCGCTGCACTTACTGCACAGATGGTTTCTAGAATGTTTCCAGTCCATAGTTCATGTTTTCTAAACATTGTATCAAATAGATGATTTTTTTCGTTTTCTTTTGTTTTTTTTTTTTTATTTTGTAAGAAAGTGGTAGATGTGTGCTGTTTCCCATTATAATTGTAGTTTCTTTATAAAAATGTATTTTATATAAACTTCTATAACTTTATAACAGTATTTTATCTATTCAGATAGTGTTATTTGGTTAAGAAGAGTTCGAAACCTTATTCATGAGCCATGATAGTCTGCCTGTCTTGCCTTAAATTATGCTCCTAAATTTCACATTTCCTTATTGTTTAATTTTCCTCAGAATTGACCTTTCTCTGCCATTTCCTTTTTTTTCCCTTATCTAGTGGGTTTGATGGTCCCCAGCCCACATATATAAGGCCCAGGCTGGCTTTAAACCAGTGATTCAACCTGCCTTGTGAGTGCAGGGTTTACAGACCTGTGAACTACATCCCAATTAGATAGCACACATTTTGATTTAAAATAATAACAATCTGACCTGTGCTAGAGGGACAGCCAAGGGAATCTACCTCTTCCGTAGCACCAGGCCAATGTCAAGAACTGTTACGGCTCTGTTAGAACTCACTTTAGTGGAGCTAAAGGGACAGTTCGGTGGTGAAGGACACTTGCTGCTCTCCGAGAGACCGGAGTTCAGTTTCCAGCACCCACGGGGAGCGTCTCACAGCTACCTAGCACCCCAGTCTGAGGGTGTCTGGTGCCTCTCTCCGGCTTCCTTGAGCTTATGTGCTCGCGTCCACACACATGCATCCACATGCAGACACCTGTGCATGATTAAAACTGACAAAAACAAATCTTTAAGATTCATTTTGATGTTACTGATACTTTGTTCTAATTTATATTTCTAAGTGTCTTTTCTCTTCTTGGTGTTTATTTTCCTATAGATGAGCCAGGACACCCGAGAAGACGCGATCTGACTCATTAGCAGCTTTCAGTTTCTTCCTTGCTGCCCCTCCAGCGTTGCACAGAAAGACCTGTCAGTCAAGCGGGCACACAGCTTCTGTTTTGGTGATTCCAAGATGCCTTAAGACAACTAGGCAAAAGCTTGTGGCTGATTGCCCAGGCTCCTGAAAGTACAGCCCAAGGCAAGGCTGTTTGAGACAGGTTTGTATCCGGCTTTTGTAGCCGCAAACCTCAATAAACCATTTCCACCTTGGCCAGAGAGGGAGCAGTACCCACAGTAGGAGGACCAATGGCAAAGTAGTGATAGAGGCAAGATGTTAATGGGGATAGAGAGGACTGAGTGGGGACAGGAACAAGGCCTTGATGGGATAGAGAACACTCATATTGATGCTAGAGGGAAGACTGTGATGGCCAAACAAATGCTAAGTATAAATAAATAACAAAAATTTAAAAATTAGTCTGATGGGCAGGTCAAATGGCTCTGTGGGTGAAGGCCCTTGAGGCCAAGTCTGATAACTTAGCCAACTCTCTGGACCCTCACGGTGAAAAGGGAAAGCCAACAAGAATTGCACACATGTGCACACATGTGCACACATGTGATGACACATGCGCACACACACGGACAAATAACTAAATGCAATTTTTAAAAATTGCTGTATGCTGGCTAGCTTTATGTCACCTTGACACAAGCCAGAGTCATCAGATAGAAGGTAACCTCAGTTGAGACACTAAGAAGATTGGGCTATAGGCAAAGCTGTAGGGCATTTTTTAATTTTTAAATAATTGGTGGGGAATGGCCCAGCCTATTGTGAGTGGTGCCACCCCTGGGCTGGGTTCTATTAGGAAGCAGAACAAACAAACCATGTGGAGCAAGTCAGTAAGCAGCACCCTCTGTGACCGCTGCATCAGCTCTGCCTCCAGGTTCCTGCCTTGTTTGAGTTCCTGTCCTGACTTCCTTCCATGATAAACAGTGATGTGGAAGTGTGAGCCAAATGAACTTTTTCCTCCCCAACTTGCTTTTGGTCATGGTGTTTCATCACAGCGATAGTAAGCCTATCTGGGACCGTCTGATTAAAGTCTTCATCTTTTACTGAAACTATTTGACTCATTTACATTTTCTTTCATGGCTGATAAATGAGGTCCTTTGCCTTTCACTTTTTCTTACATTTCTCTGACTTACTGTAATTTAAAAAATTCTCAGTTACTGCACAGTAATTGGACGTGGACTGGAGTGTGACATTTTAAAAACATGTACAGCGTGTGGTTATTAAACATATCGGCTCAGACGTCTATGGCATTTTTCTGACCCTCCCTTCACCTTTTACGGCACTGAACCCTTGCGCTTACTGGGAAGTACTCTCTTGAACTGAGCTCCACCCCCGGCCAATTCTGGTTTTTAACCTTCTGCTCTTAGTATTAAAGTTTTGCTGCTTCAACTTTTATTGTGTCTGGGGAAATAAATATTTGCAAGTTTATTAAGACTTCCCTTGCTATTACCTTACTAAGACGGACTTACTAGGAAGACCCTCACTCACTATCCAACACATTGCCTCCCTAATATGCACTTAGTAAGACTTGGAGGACACCGTGGTTAAAAGCGGGAGGGGTAATTTTTTCCCCTCATAAAGCCTACAGTTTAGAAAAGATAATTAGCAAGACAATTAGCAAAATAGTGTCATTATAAAATCTACATTAATGTGTTTACCCACACGATTATCCAAGCAATCCATTCTAAGAATCATCTTCTACCTCCGCAGCTCCTTGGGTTCTTGCTCTCAGGGCTACAGATTCCACTCACCTTGCTATTACATCATCCAGACAGCTGAGGTTCTCAAAGGACCAGCTGGAAGCAAAGGACCCCAGCAGCTGCATAATTAACATATCCATGATCTATCCGCTGCAGGGGACTACAACACAGGTGACAAGGTTCTGGCCTCCTAACTTGGTGACAGGGAGAGTTCAGCTTTGAAAGAGGTGTGTTTCTAAGAATTTAGGGGCACGAATAACCTTTTTGCATTGTTTAAAGAAAAACTAGCCTCTCAAGGTTCACCGCATTCAAAAAGAGATCGTACAGCCCGACCATGCGGAAGTTGAAGTGTGTCAGGCAGCGGTGGCCTAAGAAGCCAGAGAGGAGCTGATGCTCCCCGCCCTTGCAGAGTCTGGACTGAGGCAGCATCTTCTTCCTCTTTTGCACCAGACATCAAGGAACAACTTGCCTGCACATGGCCTAGGAAACCAGGCCCTCGGAACAAGCTACACCGGACATCTGGAAACGGGCACAGGCCATAGAGAGAACTGGGGAGGGAGGTCAATGGGGTGCAGTTTCAATTAGAGAGGAGAAAGAACTCTGCCAGCCAATCACTGCATGGTGATATAATTACAGTAACATGTTGCGTATTTCATCATGGAGCAAGAGCAGACCTCCCATGTCTTCATCACAAAGAAATGATAAGAATAGAGGTTATACAAACATCAATTATCCTTGTGCGCTGGTGCACACCTTTAATCCCAGTAGAGGCAGAGGCAGAGGCAGGAGAATCTCTGTGACTTTGAGACCAGTCTGGTCTATGTAGTGACTTCTAGGACAGTCAGGGCTATGTAGAGAGATCCTATCTAAAAAACAAAACAAAAAAAATCATTAATTAGTTGATCATTATATACATATATATCATATACACAGTAGATACATATACATCCTCAATGTATATGTGTATACATCCTCAATGTATATGTGCATCAAAACATTTTATTGCATGTTCCTGGTAAATACATGTGATTCTTCTTTGCCAACTAGATAATGCATTTAATTTTTGAAAGAAGAACTATGGGTTAGGAGATGGGCTACACACTTGTATAGTAATTGCTCTCATGAATGGCTACTCCATCTAGGTGAATGGAAGCAGGAATTCAGTTCCTACAGTGTAGCTCACAGAGGCTATGGAAAGGGAAATTAAGCTGAGTTGAGAGACACGCAGATAGCCTGACCAGACTCTATGTCAACCCTGGACAGCCTTGCCTACAGGGCAAAGACAGCCGACTGGCACTCTGTGCTTTTATACAGGACTTTATTGGTAAGTTCCCGAGTGTGGGAGCATCCAGTCTGCTGCCCATGGTGCTCAATTCCCATGAAGGGCATGGGAGAGAAGACAATGCCTTTGAAAAAGGCAGAGAAAGCACTCAATGTCCAGGTCAACCCTCTGGGCCCTTGAGGGTCTAGAGAATTCTTTATCTATTGCCCAAAATGTCTGCTTCTCAGAGGGCAGACATCCTGGTTGGAGGCTCGTGTCTCTAATATCCGGGAAAGAGAGGGAGACATCTAGAAAAGGGAGGCATTTTCTGAATGCAGCCACATGATTCACTAGTGAGGACAAGTCCTGGCCAATGGTTTTATGTCATAAACTAAGGACACAAATCTATCCTGACTTCTCTCCGCCTCTTTCTTCAAATATAGTCTGTGCGCTAAAGTGATTTCCAGTAAAAAGTGTCTTTATATGGTTATATATATATATATGTATATATGTATATATATAGCTTTACGTAGTTATAAAGTTTTAAGAGTAATTTAATGTGTTATATCAATCACTACCTTCTTCATTTCTTAAAAAGTTAAAGGTCAAGATCCCCTGAGTAAATCGGGAGCATGGGGACCTTGGGGGAGGGTTGAAGGGGGGAGGGGAGAGGCAGGGAGGGGAGCAGAGAAAATGTAGAGCTCAATAAAAAGAAAAGAAAAAAGTTAAAGGTCATCAAGTTTTGTAAAGTATTTAATAAAGAAGCAATTTTAATTTAAAAATAATTTTATAGCTATATTTTGAGTATGCAACAAGCTTATTTTAACACACTGTAAAACTTTCATAATATAAATAGGCAAGACTCTATTTATTTATTTATTTATTTAACCAATGGCCCACTTCAAATTTCTTTAAATTAAGTACAAAAGTCCTAATTTAGGGCCCGTGAGAGGGCCCAGCTTGTAAAGGCATTTGCTGCCTGGCCACCTGAGTTCAATCTCCGAACTCACAAGGTGGGAAGAGTGAACTGGTTCCTGTACATTGTTCCTCTAACCTCCACACGTATCACACACACACACACACACACACACACACACACACACACACACAATTTTTTAAAATAATAAAAGTAAATCTTAAAAGAAATTGAAATTGAGTCAGATGCCATTAGCTACTGGCCATGGCACGAATTCCTGCCGGGGTGGTGGTGGTACACATCTTTAATCCCAGAACTCTGGGAGGCAGAGGCAGGCATATCTCTGTGAGTTTGAAGACAGCCTTATAGAGCAAGTTCCAGGATAGCCTGGGCTACACAGAGAAATCCTGTCTCAGAAAAAAAAATTCCCTAAGTGAGTGGGAGCTGATTTGCATTTGAGATACACTGATAGACAAGGCCAACCCCTGGTTTCTTTCACTGAGAGAGCAGAGTTGTCAATAATTATTTTTTACCACACACGTTTCTCTCTGATCTGAATTATTGATCCTATTTTCAAATTGCTTTTCCTATATAAATCTAAAGATTATGTGAAGACAGGCAGTCATTTAAATGGGGACCACCCTGGACTACCCACACCCCAGAACAAGCCCTCACTAGCTCCCCAAAGACAAAAAGTTTTAATGTTTACTGCTTTTCTTTAACTGACCAGTTTAACAGCTGTCCTGTGCATCATTTTTTGGACTTACATGCTCATTTAACCTCCCCCCCCCCATCCTAGGTATCTAAGAGCCTTGAGAGAGGTAACTTCTGCAATTCTTGAAGAAGACTGTCTGCAAACAGAAGCTGTTGCTAACCCAGAGTCCTGCCATGTTGTGCTGTGCCCCAGGTCCCCAAGACTTGTGTCACCAGGCAGGTGCTAACCACAGTGCTTATCACCATGGGACGTTCCCTTCCAGACCAGTTAAGGCAATCAAATAAGTCACGGTGTTCATATATTTGATAGCAAAGTTTCAAATTATGTGAGGCAAAGCCAAGAGACATGAAACAAGAAACTGGTCACAATTATAGTTAGAGACCACATTGTCCGTGCCCTTGGTTGCCTCCCGGAACTTCAAACATCACACAGTTCAGACACAGGGCTTGGAGGAACTGCGCAGGAAGTGGCCTGGAAGCTTCCTCTATGAGGACTGGCTCTCACAGTGTCAGACGGTGCTATGAAAGCCACCAAGGGAGAAGAGCATCCAACAGTCTCACCCAACGGGAAAGCCTATGACCAACCTGGCACGGTGCCTCTAAGGGTGCAACACTAGCACCTAAACCCTGAGGGTAACCAAAGGTCATCAGATTGGATTTAGGGCCCTAACCATAGCAGGGAATTCGAGTTTGGTTGTGAACCTAGACATCTACCAATGCCTGGTGAGGCCACAAATCCTAAAGAAGAACCTACAACTCAAATCCTAAAGAAGAACTTCCACTTTGCTGAACTAGTATAATTTCTAACGGCGTCATAAATACTTAGACAAACAGTGTAGTTCTCCCCCTATATCAAAAATGTTCTCTTTGCACCAAAGACCATTATAAAAATCCACAACTGATCAAAATGCAGCATCACTAACTGTGGGGTATTCAAGCCCAGGTATATATCCATAATAACTCTTATATTTACCACTTCAGGAACATTCCCGAGGAGAAGGTGGAAAGATTGCTAGAGTCAGAGAACCAGGCTGTCTGCTGCAAGATAGTGTCTTCTAGACAGGAGAGGGAAGCTCCACTAGTGAAATCGTAACCATATGGTCACCTAGACAAAATGAACAGTGACAACACCAGTTGACATGCCAACATGGATGAGGGAAATCTCGCAAGGCCCCAGTCCTGGATGAAGAGCTGTAGGCAATTAATGGCTGCTGAGAGAGAGAGAGAATTGGTCTTCCCTGGGATGAGCCAATCTCTGGTGGTTAGCTCCCTATATGCACAGATGTATGAACAACACTAAACGCACTCAGCAGGG